CAGTTATATCTGAGGACACCCATCTGAGGCTTTTTTTGTACTTTGCCATTCTAATGAGTCAGAAAAATGTATAATCACAGGAAAAATAATGATGCGCAATGTATAATGAAAAAATATACTCTTGCCCATGGACAAACAATCATGCTCAGACACGTTTCAGCTCTCCTACCTCAGAGAGAGTTCCCTGACTGTTCATGAACTCCTTCCTGAGAGGGAGGAAGGTTTTGCATCTATATTTTTGTGAGTCACACCACCTCTATTCTTGACCTTGTTCACAAGTAGTCTTAATCCTCGAACTGTTGTAGATCTTGTGTAAAGAACTTCAAGTCCTCTTTAGCACCACAAAAATGCTGCTCCTGAGACTGGAATGCTGAATAGAATTTCTATAAGTTCTGATAAATGTGTCAGGGTAGGTGGCCAAGAAATCTTACAGAAGGCGTTGTTAAAACCCCAAGTCTGGGGTAGACACAGTTCTGTCAAATCTAATATGAGATGACAGAAGAAGTTATCAAGAGATATGTGTACACGAAGGCCCTGGATCTTCTGGAAGGAATGGATCCCTCTTCCTCTGCCCATCACACACTTAAACATTAATTTCAACACACATATACTTTCAAAATTCTACATCAGACTAAATAGCATATTCTTTTATTTTCTACACATTCTTCTCAAGAGCCGATCTTCTACAAAGCCTGTCACTGAAGCCTGAACAAACACCTAATATACATGGATTCTTTATGAATTCCACTGACTTCATTTCCCAAGAGAAACACACACACACACCATAAAACAAAAAAACAAGCAAGCAAGAAACCTCGGCCTCTCCTAGTATATTTGAGGAGTCATCGTACTCTGTTAGGTCAAATTCACTGGCTCCTACTTGTGGGTGTGTGTATTTGCACATTTCCCTAATTCTCTCTAGAAGGGGCAAATATCCATCTATTGGCTTTTGATGTACCATTTAAATTTTTAATGGGTTCTGAGGGTAAGGTTATATTTTCCTTCTTAGATTTCCTCCTCAAAAGCTCCTTTTTCTTCCCTTCTTGAAGTCTGAATTCCAATTTCTTTCCTGTTTCTGCTGCACAGTGGGGCGAGACCATGCTGCACTCTCAGCACAGTGTGGGTAGTAACAAGCCAAAACCAGGGGGTATGTCCAGGGTCAGATGCTGGGTGATGTGGGAGAGGTGAAATATTAGTGTATGGGGGTGAAAACAGAGTTAGGGGCATGGCCAGGCTGGAGCTGAAGTTTTGGAAGATTTACTACTGATTGCTGAAATGTCTTAGCGTGTTTAATTTGCCAGGACTCCTTAATATCCAATTTCTCTCAGGTATCAAGCTTTGGTTCTCTGGGACTCCTTTTTGCTAGGAAGTCTGTAGCTATAGTTTTCTATCTACTTTAGTACTAAAAAAGAGCTTTTCTGATCTTCTGAGAAGTAAAACCATATCACTTCCAGTTTAGATTTTCCCTTGTTTCTGAAGGCCTCAAACCCAGCACCCTATAGGGATGTTGTTATTTGGGTGACCCAAAATTATCATTCATTTCTCATTTATCAGCAGAGAGTTGCCAGCTTTTATTTGCTGTATTAGGGTTTTTTCAGAGAAACAGAACCAATAGGATACATATAGATATATAGAAGGGGAGATTTATGACACAAATTGGCTCATGCCGTTCTGGAGGTCGAGGAGTCCCAAGATCTACTGTCTACAAGCTGGAGAACGAGGAAAGCTGGTGGTGTTGTTGAGTTAGAATCCGAAGGCCTGAGAATCGCAGGCCTAGTGGTGTAAGTGCCCATCTGAGTCTGAAAGCCTGACAGGCAGGAGCTCTGACGTCTGTGAGCAGGAGAAAATGGATGTGTCAGCTGAAGCAGAGAGAGAGCTGGAATTTGCCCTTCCTCTGCCTTTTTGGTCTATTCTGCCCTCAAATGATTGGATGATGCCTGCCCACGTGTAAATTAACCATCACACTTGCCTTACCACCTTTAATACTTACAACCATCTCCTGAGAGTGGAGGAGGGAGTGTGTAGTATAAAGCAGTGTGATTTCACAATTTTCCCTTTCTTCTCATTCAGGCTTTGTGTTTCCTTTTCATTATTCCATAGCACCTCTTGAGCCCTGCTTCAGTGGTAAATCCCTGTTATCTGCCAGTCTTTGCCCCCAACTGAACCGAATCTGAAAAGTAACTTAATAAAATCCCAGTTGTAGACTCCCTCCCTCTTTGGGCCAAAACAGAGTCTCATAGAGGAAGGAACTCCTATAAATAAGACAGCAAGAGTGGTCCTATCTTGAAATGGCTTGACATTATCAATTCTATATGGTTGCCAAAGCCCCAATCATCTCAAGGGGGAGACCTTGTTAATGAAAGGACAGAAAAAGATGAACTGCCCTTTGAGAACATAAGCCAGCGATGGATGTCCTGGGAATGTGATTTTCCCAGGATCCCGAAAGAGTGCTGAGGCGTTACATTATGGAAGTGAAAGGACATGCCTGCTTCCACGGTGAAACAGCCCAGAGCTTCATGCTTACAATTTCAATGGGAGAAAATTTCAATGGGAGAAAATGTTCTGAAAAAGAGGGTAATCTATTTGGATTTTCTGTCCTTTGCACATGGAAAGTAGCAGGGCGCCACCGTCTTCCCCAGGCTCTTGTCCCCTCTTCTCCAGCAGGTTGCATCGCTGGTTGCAGGTAATCCCTGTATCTTTGGCTCCTGCTGGGGGCAAGCTACTCCAGTGCCATCTTCTTCCTATTTTTGTGTTATATATACTTTTTTATAGCTTTACTGAGATATAATTGATATGTAAAAAACTGTGCATATTTAATGTATGCAATTGGTTGCGTTTGGACATAAGCATACACCCATAATACCATCATCATAATCAAGGTAATAAACACATCCATGACCTCCAAAAGTTACCTTACATCCCTTCCAGTCTCTTCGTTTTTTTTTTAGAGCTAACATCTGTGCGAATCTTCCTCTGTTTTGTATGTGGGTCACCGCCAGAGCATGACCGCTGATGAGTGGTGTAGGTCAGCGCCCAGGAACCGGGTCCAGGCCGCCAAAGCGGAGCACGCCAAACTTAACCACTAGGCCATGGGGCCGGCCCCTCTTCCAGTGCCTTCTTGATGAGATTTTAACCATAAAGACTTTGACAATAAAGAATCAATCCTTCAAGAAAAATTCAAATGTTAAAAACCTTGGTAATACTCATAAAAATATAAAGCTACTTTTATTTGAACATTTATTAGACACCAGACAGTGTCCATTTTACAGAGGAGGAAACTGAAGCTTTAAAAATTTAAGGACCTTGTCCAAGATCTCATAGTCTGACTATAAAAAATATTATTTTTAACTATGGTAAAAAAAAAAAAAACATAAAAAATAATTTACCATCTTAACCATTTTTAAGTGTACAGTTCAGTACTGTTAAGTCTATTGTCATTGCTGTACAACAGATCTTTAGAACTTTTTACCTTGAAAAATTAAAACTTTGTACCTATCCAACAATAGCTCCCCATTTCCACCTCCTCCAGCCACTGGCAACCACCATTCTATTTTCTGTTTCTATCAGTTTGACTCCTTTAGATACTTCATATACAGCATTTGACTTTTTTGTGACTGGCTTATTTCACTTAGCATAATGTCCTCAGGGTCATCCATGTTGTAGCACATGGCAGGATTTTTTTCAAGGCTGAATAGTATTCCATTCCTTGTATGTATATACCACATTTTGTTGATCCATTCATCTGTCACTGGACACACGGGTTGCTTCTATCTGTTGGTGACTGTGAATAATGCTGCAATTAACATGAGCGTGCAAATATCTCTTCAAGATCTTGCTTTAGATTCTTTTGGATATATACCCAGAAGTGGAATTGCTGAATCATGTGGCAATTCTATTTTTAATTATTTGATAAACCTCCATACAGATTTCCATAACAACTGCACCATTTTACATTCCAAACAGCAGTCTACAAGGGTTCCAATTTCTCTACATCTTCGCCAACACTTATTATTTTCTGGTGTTTTCGGTTTTGCTATAGTGCCATCCTAATGAGTGTGAGGTGATATCTCATTGTGGTTTTGATTTGCATTTCTTTAATGATTAGTGATGGTCAGTATCTTTTCATACACTTGTTTGCTATTTGTATATCTTCTTTGGAGAAATGCCTGTTTAAGTCTTTTGCCCATTTTTAAATTGGGTTGTTTGTTTTTGTGTTTGTTGTTGAGTTGTAGAAGTTCTTTATGTATTTGGGATATTAACCTCTTATCAGGTATATGACTTGCAAATATTTTATCCCATCCCATAGGTTATCTTTTCACTCTGTTGACTGATGTGCAGAAGTTTTTCAGTTTGATGTAATTCCATTTGTCTATTTTTGCCATTGTTGCCTCCTTAGACTGACTTTTAACCACTGTGACCATTTTATCATGTTGCTGAACCCAGGCATACTACACAGCCACATGCACAGAATATATAACATTTGAAATAACTTCACGGCTTTCTTACCTAAATTATTTCTTGCGCGTGAAAACTTTCTTTTCTGTTAGGAGGGCCGGGGATGAAGGGCAGGTGAAGGAACGACAGTCTTGCCTGTGGTGTACTTAGAGACTTCCTTGGGTTGAGTATTTCCGGAAGATAACTACTCCATTTTCTTGTGGTGTTTACCATTAATTCTTAGTGGTTGCAGATTTAAATAGGCTTCTTTATCTTCTCTGGGTTGAAATTTATTTAAAACTTTCTGTACACCAGCCAGAGAGGCAGCACAGGGAGTGTGGTGGGAAGGGCACCATAGAGCTGAGAACTCAAGACAAGGGCTCCATTCTCGGTTCTGCTTCCCGGTGTTTCCCTCATCAATTTCCGCACCAGCAGAAGAACCCTACCTAGGGTTTCACAAGGGCAAAACAAGGTAATATAGGACAGAGAGATTTGTCTGTAAAGCAGACTCAGCTTCTAGTTCGATTTGTTACTGATTGATGTGCAAAAATCGAGTCTGGTGACGAATGAGCCCGTATGAGAGGATGAAGCAATTTCCTTCCTCTTCTCTAAGTTCATCTCCTAAACCCCACTGGACTCAAGCCCAGTTCTGGGATGACTATGGAGATCCAGACATTTCTGAATGTACATCCTGGTAGCCTGTGGCTGCTTCAACCACTGACAGTTTTGCTGCTGCTGGGTGAGTGAGGGTCATTCTGGAATAGGGTAATTTCAGTCACTTCTATGAGGACTCCAGGGATCAGTGTGGTGAGGAGCAGGCCTGGGCCCTGGAGGCCGTGGATAGATTGAAAGGCGACAGAGAACCCTGAATTCTTATCATTCCACTGGTCCTAAGGCCAGAAATCAGAGGTACTTTCACAGTCCCTGCACCTCACATTCATATTTTCTTTGTAGCCATGTGGAGAGACAGGGATGAGATGAGGAGGACATGAGAAATGAGTACTCTTATAAGAGTACTGGAAACTGGAAATAGAGTAAGTAGAAACAGGCTCTTGAGATGGGCCCTGGGGAAAGAAGGAGCCCAAGATGGCCTCCCCTTGCCCCTCTCCACACACCTACAACTACATTTGCTCTCCTCATCTTCTCCTGCTCTACACTGATCCACTCTCTTCTCTTTCACAGCTTCTGCACGCGGGCAAGCTGGTGAGTTTGCTCTTTGTTTCCTTGGGTTTATGGCATTATTGTCTCACAATGCGCGGCTATATTTATCATGTAGGGAAATATCTGTTCCACCAAGAACCAGGCTTGGGTTCGGCATGGTTGGTTCCCCCATTTTCGTGGGACCTGGGATTTGATTCTTGGTAGGATTCCCACTGGATCCACCAAAGACCTTAAGGGAATGAGGCTGCTACAAGTACACAGATCTTTAATTGATTCGACAGTAAGGGGAGACTCTCTGGCCCCTGCTGTCTCCTGTGAACACCTTTGGAATCCATGGTCCCTCCAAGGTTACTTATTCCCATCCCTTTCTGTTCTCTGCCCCTCAGCACATCTCCCAAAGGCTGTGGTGAGCCTTGAGCCCCCGTGGATCAATGTGCTCCGGGAGGATACCGTGACTCTGAAGTGCCAGGGGGCCCACACCCCTGGGAACAACTACACCCAATGGTTCCATAATGGGAGCTCCATCACAACCCAAGTCCAGCCCAGCTACAGCTTTAAGGCCACACACAACGACAGCGGAGACTACAAGTGCCAGACGGGCCAGACCAGCCTCAGCGACCCTGTGCATCTGGATGTGGCTTCTGGTCAGTGGATGAAGGTCCGGGGAGGATCTGGGAGGACAAGGAGAGATGATAACTGTTGACATGGCAGACGTTTTTAAGAAACGGGGGTGGCTTGTTTACTGAGAAGCATCGCTGTGAGTTGTTTGAAGTAGTTTTTGCCCTCTCATTTCCCTTTTCACCAACACACTTTGCTTGGTGTGTTTGGTAATGTAACAGATTACATTATGTTCATCACCCAAGGAATAATTGGGTGGAAGTTCCTAAGAGAGTCCTCAGAATATGTTATGCTGTTTGGCCTAAGTCCTGATTGAGTAGGAAAGTTACAAAGCCACAAACAAGCAACCGGGGGTGAGAGAAGCAGAAGGAAATTTCTGCTCCATAAAACCATTCTACTCTCATGGCAGTGTCTTAAAACACAGGTGTTGAAGGTAACCAGACTACAAAGGCCCTAAGCTGGGAGCGTGCCTGGCAGGCGTTAGGAGGTTGTTCTGCCCAGGGTGCAGGAGGCCAGAGGGAGCTATGGAATCTAGAAGATGAGGTCAGAGGGGAGGAAGACGGGCAGGGGTAGATCACGTGGAAGCTGTTAGTCTAGAATGATGACTTTAAATTTTATTCCTGAATGAGATGAGAATTCATTAGATGGTTTTAATTAAAGAAGTCACATGATGTGACCTAGGTTATGTATATATCTGACAGTGTTCAGTTTAATAGATTCTGTAGAAATATGCTCCAAGACACGGTATTATCGCCCCCCCATGTCTGAAAATATGAGCAATTTATACTGTAATTGACTTCAACTGCCCCTTGGTGTATAAACCCTGAAGATGGGCACATGTAAGCTTTCAGTGTTTTATGTTTACCATTGGGAGGATGATATTTTATGTAGTCTTTTAAGGTCCCTGTCCCAGAATTCCTGGTGGTGGAGTCCCTTTCTGTTGATGGTGCTCAATGGAAAGGGAAATATATATTGACTCAGCCTCAAAAACTTGACCACAGCTACGCATCTCTTCTCTTTGTGCCTTGCCACCTCAGAAACAGCTGATTTTACTTCTGAGTTGTCCTACAAAAATGTTAAAATATAGATTTAAGAAAACTTAGATCCAAAAGGTCATTAGAGGGAAACCACCTAGTCCCATCCTCCATTGTACAAAGAAATTAAGCCCATGAGACCTAACAGCCCAGAAGTAAATGGTGGAGCCAAAATCAGAACCCTGACTTCAGATTTCTGTCTCATGTTGTCTCAACAACAGTACCTTGCCTTTTGTATACAGGATACTGTTTTCTTAAATGAGTTTTCATTTAAATACGATATACCAAATCTAAAATTTATTATTATAATAAAGCGAGCAATTTGATCTTCTTCTCTAGGAAGTTTATTGAGACATTCTTTTTTTTATTGCAGTAACATTAGTTTATAACACTATATAAAGTTCAGGTGTACATCTTTATACTTCTATTTCTGTATAGATTACATTATGTTCACCACCCAAAGACTAATTACAACCCATCACCACACACATGTGCCTAATCATCTCTTTCGCCCTCCTCCCTCCCCCTTCCCCTCTGGTAACCACCAATCCAACCTCAGTCTCTATGTGTTTATTTGTTGTTGTTTTCATCTTCTACTTGTGAGTGAGACCATATGGTATTTGACCTATTCCCTCTGACTTATTTCACTTAGCATAATACCCTCAACGTCCCTCCATGTTGTCACATATGGCTGGATTTCATCGTTTCCTATGGCTGGGTAGTATTCCGTTCAGTATATATACCACATCATTCTTATCCATTCGACCCTTGATGGGGACTTAGGTTGCTTCCAAGTCTTGTCTATTGTGAACAATGCTGCAGTGAACACAGGGGTGCATGTATCTTTACACATTTGTGTTTTCACGTTCTTTGAATACCCAGCAGTGGAATAGCTGGATAGTATGGTAGTTCTATTCTCAATTTTTTGAGGAATTTCCATACTGTTTTCCATAGTGGCTGCCCCAGTTTGCACTCCCACCAGCAGTGTATGAGACTTCCCTTCTCTCCACATTCTCTCCAACACTTGTTGTTTCCTGTGTTGTTAATTATAGCCATGCTGACAGGGCGTGATGTGATATCTCATTGCTTTGATTTGTATTTCTCTGATAGTCAATGATGTTGAACATCTTTTCATGCGCCTGTTGGCCATCTGTATATCTTTATTGGAGAAATGTCTGTTCAGGTCTTTTGCCCATTTTTTAATTGGGTTGTTAGTTTTTTTGTTGTTGAGATGTATGAGTTCTTTATATATTTTGGAGATTAACACCGTAGCAGACATATGGTTTAGAAATATCTTCTCCTAATTGTTAGGTTGTCTTTTCATTTCGTTGATGGTTTCCTTTGCTGTGCAGAAGCTTTTGAGTTTGATGTAGTCCCATTTCTTTATTTTTTCTATTGTTTTCCTTGCCTGGTCTGACATGGTGCTTGAAAATAAGTTGCTAAGACCGATGTTGAACAACGTACTGCCTATGTTTTCTTCTAAAAGTTTCATGGTTTCCGGTCTTACATTCAAGCCTTAATCAATTTTGAGTTCATTTTTGTGTATGGTGTAAGATAATGGTCTACTTTCCTTTTTTTGCATGTGGCTGTCCTGTTCTCCCAACATCATTTATTGAAGAGACTTTCCTTTCTCCCTGTATGTTCTTGGCTCCCTTGATGAAAACTAGCTGTCCATAGATGTGTGGGTTTGAAACATTCTTTATAGACTTGTCCTCCAAGGTAGCCAAACTCTGGAATCTGATTACCCTGCCATCAACGAAGTGAGCGGGTGGTTGAGCGTGGGAACGTTTGTGAGCAGGGAGGAAGAAGTGATTTTAAGTTAAAAAGCTTCGTTTCATGCTCTTCTTGTTCAGAGTCACAATTGAATACCGAATTCACAAGGTCACACATTTTCATTTCTTATGTGGATGGAAATTCCATTCAGGGTGGGTGAGGCATTATTAAAGCTCCATTTTGTTGCTAATATGGAGAATGGCTCCCCACCCTCACTTCCCAAAACTTGTGGAAAAGTTGCCATTAAATTAGGAATCCCCAGACCACAAATGCTGTATCCACACAAACTGAGGGTGTCAGGTGCTGTTCAGCAACCTCTACTGTTACTGAAATGCCCTCATTTCCTTGCTCCAGTATAGTGTTTTTAATGTCTCAAAATCACCCCACACCCCTGGGCCAGGGAGTTTTATTCCTGCCATTCATCTTTGGAACTTCTGAAAACTGTCCTTCAGAGGTCCTACAGATAATGCCATATTTTGCCTGTAGGAGAATGCTCACACCTGCCATGAAGCATCTTCAATTCCTCTGCTCCACATCTTTTTAAAAGTACTCAAATGAGTAATGTAGCCCCAAGCATGAGGCACCAAGGGCCTTGGTATCCAGCCTTAGAACTTTCCCTTCCCATGTTTTGTCTTTCAGACTGGTTGTTACTCCAGACCACTCGCCTGGTGTTTGAGGAGGGGGAGCCCATCCACCTGAGGTGCCACAGCTGGAGAAGCAAGCCTCTGTACAAGGTCACATTCTACCAGAATGGAAAACACCAGACATTTTCTCATCTGAATTCCAGCTTCTCCATCAGACAAGCAAAACTCAGTCACAGTGGCGAGTACCACTGCACGGGAGTTATAGGGGAAATGCTGCACACGTCACAGCATGTCAACATCACTGTCCAAGGTGAGAACCGAGGCTGTTCAAGGGGCTTCCGGCCTTGGAAGGATGGGTAGGGAGAGGATTACTGATCTTTTTTGGACTTCAGTACCTGTCTTCTCCTGAGTGGGCCTCATTGATGTCAACAGGAACCCTTAAAGTCCTAGCTTGACCTGATTGCTGTGTGGATGTGTAGCTCTGTTCCAGCTCATTCCTCGGGGATTATAGAAAGGGGTGTCATTCACTTGAAGTTTCAACTCTCAGGAGACAGTGTCATCCCCACAAAACCGTCCACCAGACATAACCACCCTTCCTCTTTTCCACCTCATTCAAACCACTCCACTTTGTCATATGTCCCTCTTGTCTCTAGGATTCTGAGGCTTCTCGTGCCTCCCTACTAACACTCTCAGCCTAGGCTCAAAGGTAAGCTGGGGGCAGCCATGTTGGCATGAGAGTCTCTCTGCACACGCAAAGAACTGGGCTTCCATCTGTTCTTGAGAAATTGCGCATTGTGAAATCCATATCATGCCCTTTCAGGAGGCATCACGAGCTATTTATGCCACACTAGCACCGGTCAGTGAATACCGCCCATCCTGGGCTCAGAGGAGTTGGCAAGAGACAATCTGTTGATGTGGTCTGTGGATGCCCTAGTTCAATGTTTCCCAAAGGCTGTTCCCCAGTCACATGACTCTTTGAGAGGCTTTTCAGAATGAACAATTCTGTGGCCAAATTAATGCAGAACATGCTGCATATTCTGTTCCTCTCCTTTCATCTTCATAATGCACATTAAACACTTCCAGAAGTCCTATTGTAAACAAAACTTTTAAAGTAAATTTTATGAGGCATTTGCCAAACCTAGGTGACCACAAAACCTTTTTCCTCTATAACTTCTACTAATGTCCCTTAGAACAGATGTGTCCAAGGTCACCCTTTTGGCAATGCTGATCCAGAGCTTTATTTGGGAGGCAGAGAGATGAAGAGATCCTATGAAGACTTCCTGGGCTACCTGTCTGCGCTTGGCCTTGGCCTTAGCTCCTGGCTTGGGTGACTTCACAAAGGCTCCCCAACAGGGCCCTGACTGTGTATTCCAAATTTCTGCCTTAACACTTGTCAATCTTCTCATCCCTGTGCATCTCCTATTAGGTCCGGCAGCACTATTCGTCTTTCCGCCTTGGTATCAAATCACTTTCTGCCTGGTGATGGCGCTCCTGTTTGCAGTGGACACAGGGCTGTATTTTTCCGTGCAGACAGACCTTCGAAGCTGAATGAGAGACTGGAAGAATTACAAAGTCAGATGGAGCCAGGCCCCTCAGGACAAATGACCCCTCATCCCATGGTGTAACAGCAGCATCTCTTCAGGCCCTACATTTTCTCCTCCCCCAACCGCTATCCGACAGCATCCTGGGCTTAGGAGCCTCCAACCACCCTTTAGTCTCCAGGGAAAAGAAGGACCTGTGGTCTCCAGAGTTAAATTCCAACAGGCCCCACACTCACCGAGTTCCTGAAGGTCAAGGCTCCACAAGGACTCACAGCAAACACTCACACTGTTTTCATAGACCCTAGACAGAGGCTCCTCAAATATACAAAACTCAGTGAATCCTGCTTCTACTTTCAAAATGAATCCAGCAATCTGACCCCTTCTCAGTACTCTTCTACTGGCACCTTGGTCCAAGCTACCATCATCTCTCACTTGGGTTACTGCAATAGCTTCCTGATTGGTTTCCCTACACTCACCCTTGCCACCCTACAGTCTGTTGTCACCACAACAGCCAAAGTGATCTTTTAAAAATGTGTGTTGTATCTGTCACTTCTCTACTCCAAGCCATGCAATAGCCCCTTGCGATTAAGAGTAAAGCTAAAGCCTTTGCAATGTTCTACAAGGAGCTACATGATCTTGCTCCTCACTGCCTCTCTGACCTCACCTACTGCTCTTCCTTGGTTCAATCAACACACCAATTATACTTCTGCCCAGGGCTTATGTTATTTCCTGTTTCTGGAATGTTCTTTCTTACAGATCTCCACATCACGCTCCATCATGGTCTTGACTCAAATGTTACCTTATCAGTGAGGTCTCCTTGATCATTCAGTATAACCCCACTCTCCCACCACCCCCTAACACCCCTCTCCTGCTTTATATTTCCGCATTGTACTTATTACCTACTGATGTATCATATGCTGACTTGTTTAATTGTTTATTGTCTGACTACGCTTCCTCTCATCAGAATGTGAGCTCCAGGACAGCAGGGCCTTTGTCTATTTTGTTCACTAATGTATAGCTAGAGTCTGGGTCAGTGTCCGGCACATGACAAAGCACTCACTAATTTGTGGCATGAGCAAACTCTTGAGCATTTGAAATCAGAGAATTTTAAAGCTAGAAAGTCCTTAGAAATGATGTGATCCAGTCTCCTCATTTTAAAATTGAGTAAGCTGTGGCCCAGATGGGTGAAATGTCTTGTTAAGGATATACAGGCAGTTGGTGTCACAGACCTTTATATAAACAGTTTTGGATCACACTGTATGTTTGTTCTACAACTTGCTTTTTGTACTCAGTGTTGAGTCATCAGCATCCCTCCACTTCACAATGTCTATTTAAGTTATCACTTTAGTATCTCTTCTACTTTCAAAGATACTCCAACTAAGCTACTAAACATAAATGGATACATGTAAGCATATGTATAAAGTTAGCACTGCATACATAAACTCCTCTATACTTGAACCTCTCTGAATTCAAAAGTAAAGAGAATGACATTGGAAGAATGCCTGTGTGATGCTGTGGGTAATGTGCAGGCACAGAGGTGCTTGCTTTAGGGCTTTACCTGGAACTCTTGGGGCTGCGAGGGTAGGTGGGGTTTTGAGGCCGCTGAAGCCCAGGAGAGAAGGTTGGAGGAGCTTGGACAAGGCAGTCCCCCAACAGACCAGGGCACAGACCCCAGGCCAGGCCGCCTTTTCCCTTCTGAGGTGAGGACCCTTCTCTTCCAGGTTCTTGGCCAAAATGTCTGGACTCTCACATCCAGGCCTAGACTCTGAGAGTGAATGAGTTTAGAGCTGAAGCTTCTCTTCCTCCTGGAGTTATGAAATAGGTTCCTTCTTTTTGAAGATGGTTTGATTTTCCACTGTGAAAGTCATTCATTGCACACTTCTTCAAACATTCCCTTTTTTCCTTGGACTGATCACCTTCCCGGCATAGTTGGATCTAAGTCCCAGAAGACTTTGCCAGCTCTTTCTCACTGGCACACTGGGAGAGGGTTGAACAAGAAATCCAGTCCAGAAGGGGGACTGACCTCTGCATGCTGACTCCCTCCTCCCTCTTCAAAGGCCCCGGGGGGAACTTTCCAAAGGATTCTCAGCCATTAGAGGTGAAAAGAGCCACTTACCAAGCAAGGATTTACAGTTTCTCTTTTTAAAAATTAATTTCCCTTGAATGAGGCAAATAACAATATATTACATACAACACACTACTAAAGTTTAACATTAGAAAGTATGACGTTCCCCATAGATACCGCCCTCGTTAGTACAGCGGTGAGTATCCCCACCTGTCAGCCAGGAGACAGGAGGTTACAGAGACCTTTTGCTCCTCTTTCCTCCATTTCCACCCTCTGGTCTCCGAAAAGGCTCCTCCTTTTGGCTTCTCAGTAGAAGGCCATGCCAAGTAGAAACAGCAGAAAGCCCCAATAGGATGTTCTGGCATGAAGAAAGTGAGACATGGCTAAGATTCAATTCGTAAGGCCGCAGGACTGACGGGAACTAGGATGGCTTTGCTGCCCAATGGACTCCCCTCGCCCTCGGGCTTGCGGAGCATGGGATGGCCTGTGGCCTGCAGGAGTTTACTCCCCACCTGAGCCCTGGCCTCAGAGGAAAACGCACACTGTGCTTTCCAACCTACCTTTGGGTACCATCCTCGGGAATATGAGCGACAGGCATCGACAACAGGAGCGACATTCCACCACAGTTCATCTGCATCCTCCTTCCCCGTGTGCAGAGTTCATTCCGGAGGCGCGCGCGGGGGGGTGGCCAGATCACCCCTGAGTCCGCGCGCCACAGCGCCAGGTCTTGGCTCCCAAAGAAAGCGACTTCATAAGGGATGGGGAGCCAAATGAAAAGAACCTAGCCTTCAGCTAACTGGTTTCCTTTCAGTGTTATAAGCACTACAACAGGAAAAAAAAAAAAAAAGCAAGAGGTAGAGAGAGAAATCACTCCTTACAAGCATTGGCTGGGAATCGAAACCGGGCCTCTTGCGTGCCAGGGGAGAATTCTATCACCGAACCAGCAATGCGCCATGTGTTTTGTGTTTTACGGTACTCTGTAAACCTCATCGCTGTCCCTAGCTTCATTCAGCAACCAGAATCAGGCCGCCCATCTAAAATACTGCTTTGATGTTTCAAGACAAAAAAATGTTGACAAAAAAAATAACTATTTAAACTCCCGGCTTGGAGACCACGGCTCTATTCGCACGGTAACATACTTCCCGCTTTTCCCGAGCCGCCGGACTCAGGCCGGCTGTCTTCAGCCAACAGGGGGAGAACTAGTTCTCTTGGGAAGTTAGGCCTTCACTGGCTTCTGCCGCAACCCACGGCCCCTAGAACCAGCCAGGAGAAGCTGCAACTTTCTCCGCAGCTCCGAGTCAGGGGCGGGTGGGGCCAGCGCGGCCAACCCGCGCCCCGCCTCGCACGGCCGGAGCCGCGCGAACCTGCTCCCCGAGTCAGCGCGGCGCCCCCCCGGCTGAGTCAGCCCGCGCGGGGGGGGTGGGCGGCTCTGGGCTCTCCGCGAAAGCGCCGGCAGGTTCGCGGCGGCGCGGGCGGGCGGAGGCGCGTCCCCGGAAAGTGGATCTAAGGCTCGTGGACGCGGAGCCGGGCAGAGCCGAGCTGGGCTTGCAGGACAGAAGGCGAGCGGAGAGCGGCGCAGCGGAGCGCGCCTCGACGGTCGAGCAGCACCAAGTGCCGCAGTCTCGCGTATCAGACTGGTCCCCAGGAGCGCGAGAAGCCGCAGCCATGTGGGCCCGAGGGAAGTGGCGATAGGCATCGACCTGGGCACCACGTACTCATGTGTGGGCGTGTTCCGGCACGGCCGCGTGGACATCCTCGCCAATGACCAGGGCAGCCGCACGACGCCCAGCTGCGTGGCCTTCACCGACACCGAGCGGCTGGTCGGAGATGCGGCCAAGAGCCAGGCGGCGCTGAACCCGCGCAACACCGTGTTCGGCGACAAGCGGCTGATCGGGCGCAAGTCTGCGGACGCGACTCTGCAGGCGGACGCGAAGCACCGGCCCTTCCAGGTGGTGAGCGAGGGCGGCAAGCCCAAGGTGCGCGTGTCCTACCGCGGGGAGGACAAGGCGTTCTACCCCGAGGAGATCTCGTCCAGGGTGCTGAGCAAGATGAAGGAGACGGCCGAGGCGTACCTGGGCCAGCCGGTGAGCCACGCTGTGATCACGGTGCCCGCCTACTGCAACGACTCGCAGCGCCAGGCTACCAAGGACGCGGGTGCCATCGCGGGGCTCAACGTGCTGAGGATCATCAACGAGCCCACAGCGGCCGCCATCGCTATGGGCTGGGCCGGCGGGGCGCCGGAGAGCGCGGCGTGCTCATTTTCGACCCGGGTGGGGGCACCTTCAACGTGTCGGTCCTCACTATTGACGCCGGTCTCTTTGAGGTGAAGGCCACGGCTGGAGACACCCACTTGGGTGGAGAGGACTTTGACGACCAGCTGGTGCACCACTTCACGGAGGAGTTGCGACAGAAGCACGGGAAGGACCTGCGCGGGAACAAGCGGGCCCCACGCAGGCTTCGCATGGCCTGTGAGCACGCCAAGCGCACCCTGTCCTCCAGCACCCAGGCCACTCTGGAGATCGATTCCCTGTTCGAGGGCATAGACTTCTACACGTCCATCACTCGAGCCTGCTTTGAGGAACTGTGCTCGGACCTTTTCCGCAGCACCCTGGAGCCAGTGGAGAAGGCCCTGCGGGACGCCAAGCTGGACAAGGCCCACATTCATGACGTTGTTCTAGTGGGCGGCTCTACTCGCGTTCCCAAGGTGCAGAAGCTGCTGCAGGACTTCTTCAACAGCAGGGAGCTGAGCAAGAGCATCAACCCGGATGAGCGGGTGGCCTATGGGGCTGCTGTGCAGGCAGCAGTGTTGATGGGGGACAAGTGTGAGAAAGTGCAGGATCTCCTGCTGCTGGACGTGGCTCCGCTGTCCCTGGGGCTGGAGACAGCAGGTGGAGTGATGACCACGTCGATCCAGAGGAATGCCACCATCCCTACCAAACAGACCCAGACTTTCACCACCTATTCAGACAACCAGCCTGGGGTCCTGATCCAGGTGTATG